GAACTCACTCTGTAGACCAGGCCAGGCTGGCCTTGAACTCACAGAGATCCACCTACTTCTGCCGTCTAAGTGCTGGGATTAAAAGTGTGCACCACCATTGCCCACCCAGCTTGACATACCTTTCTTGCTAGGACTGGTTGGTAATCAGAGGTGGTGATTAATTCTTTGTACCCATTTCTGCCCTTAGCTTCCTCATATGATTTAATAAAAAACTGTTGATGAGTGGGTGTGCACCCTGAGAACTTAAAAGTAGAAATGACTAATGGTTTTTCATATATAAAAGTTCAGATGTGATTTTTTAATAAAATTACTTTTGAGACAAAAAAATTTATGTGTCATCTAAGTATTTTTGTCTATTTTTTTCCTGGAAAACTCTTAGTGAATATTTAAAATCCTCAGTATATACTGCTGCATTGTTCTCCAGAAATTGCACAGCCATCCTGCAGGTTTTGTTTACTGAACACTTAGGCTTGCGTTCGTCAAGCCTTACTGTGTTACAAGGAAGACAAGTACAGCATAGGTGAGGAATTGGCTCATGTCCGTAGGTATTAGTGGCTTGTTTAGAAGCCTGAGCCTGCTTAGGAGAGTGGGTAGGTCATGTGGTGTGGTTGCTTCATGACAAGCCTGCACATTTACCAAGCTACCTAGAAGTCAGCAGCTGGCCAAGCTCATTGCTCACTGATCCATGTACACATATTTAGGCTTTTTGTTTCTATCAATAATATTTCAGTTCCTGGTGCACATGTCTTATTATTTTTCACCCTACTTTTGTAAATTTCTTCAGTTTTCAGTTTTATTGCAGGTGTACAGAGATGCAGCTTTTTTAAAAGCATGAATACTATGAACTTACTAGCTTTAGTAGTTTCTTCCCCACTTTCCCCCTTCTCTCCCTCCTCCTTTCCTGTTGTCTAACCCCCCTTCTATCTCTTTCTCATCCTCTCTCCTTCCCTCTCCTGCCCCTTACCCCTTCTTGTTCTCCCCATGTTATTGAGACAGGGTTTTGTTGTGTATTCCTGGCTGGCCTGGAACTCACTGTATAGGCTAGATTGGCCTCCAGCTAACAGAGATCTGCCTGCCTCTTCCTGAATGCTGGGGTTAAAGGTGTGTAACACCATTCCTAGCCTCCAGTAGTCTCTTATTTATTTGTCTGTCTGTCTACCAACCCATTCATTCATCCATCCATCCTTTTACCCATTCATTCATTTATTTTGGTTTTTCAAGGCAGGGTTTTTCTGTAGCTTTGAAGCCTATCATGGAACTCATTTTGTATATCAGGCTGGCTTTGAACTCACAGAAATCCTACTGTTTCTGCCTCTGGAGTGCTGGGATTAAAGGCATGTGCCACCACTGCCCAGATACTCTAGTAGTTTCTTTAATGCTACTCTTACAGTTGTCTGTAAGATCATGTCATCTGCAAGTAGAAGTAGTTTAACTTTTTTCTTCCTCTTGGGTTTTATTGGAAATAGAAAGTGTTCTGACTAATGTTAGTAGATCTAAAGTTTGTCTTAAGTCAACTTTCTACCCATGTTAATCATTAACAAGGACTTATAAATGTTTACAAAGTAGTTATTTAATATAATATTTATATACATGTAGTAATTCTGGTAATAAGATTGCTACATGTTTATTGTAAAATATAGAAAATAGACTTAAAAATCCAAAATTTTAGAAAATCCTGTTAAAAGTATTTTTAAAATATGTAATTTTAAAATATACTAATTCTGAACCTTAGAGTCTACATTTTAAATTTGAAATTTCATAGTATAACATTCTTGTTAAAATATATTTAAAATATTGGTACATAGTAGTGCATTATCAACATTAGTAGTACTATTAATTTTGTTTCCTGTGAAATACGATTTCTATATCTAGCCCAGGCTGGCCTGACCTTGTGATCTTCTTTTCTCTGCTGGGATTGTGGTCCACCATGTCCTGCTATGGTTCTGCAGTACTTTGTTTGGTAGTTAATTGTCTGTCTTTTCCTCCCCTCTCAGGTGGATGCACGAAGCATACCAGTGTTAGCAAAATGGCAAAATTCCTATAGCATTAAAGTTGTACTTCAAGAGCTAAGACGTCTAATGATGTCCAAAGAAAATATGAAGCTTCCACAGCCACCAGAAGGACAGACATACAACAACTGATTTTAGTGGATCTCAAACTTGTCTTAAATCAACAACCTTCTACTCATGTTAATGTCTTGATTAAATATCACCATGCAAAATACCCACACATTAAGTAAAAGAATTTTAGCTGGTAAACATGATCCGGAGAGTTGTAAGAATATATTTAATATATGTACACCTATTATGTTTTCAGGTAACAGAAGTGCAGCACAATTTTTCTTTCTCTTCTTAAAGCACTGTCATTTAAACATGAACCTGAAATATTCAAAATTGAATTCTGGTTTTCAAGACAAAAGCATGGAAAAGGAGTGTCAGATGGCAGTGGAAACCTTTGTCTTTCTGAAAAGTAAAGTCTCAAGAAGGAAGAACAGAAATGGCATGCTTTATCCATCATCCTTAGACTGCAGTGAACTGTTTAAAGTAGCAGGTATAATGAGTAGTCACAATTGTGTTAACTCTTGAAGTGGTGCGGATGTGGGTGCTGACTACTATAGCATCAAAAATTGCTTCAGGATTGTTTTGATACCTGTATTTATAATAAAAAGATGTTGGGTATTGATGACTCTCTGTTAAAAGCTGTTCCTGTTTGTTACATGTAACAGACATGATAAATAACTGTTTACAGTCTTTGTTTAATAAAACATACTTAGAAGTTTTAAGTGAAGTCAACAAAAAGGAAATAGGTGAATGGATATGTGATTCTGAGATTAAAGTTAGTCTTGAAATGTAAATAAAATATGGAATGTGTCCTCAGAGACTGTGCTATTTCTGTTACATTGATGTATGTATAGTAGCCATACCAAGGTGGCAAAACTGGGGATAATTAAGCTAGGCATGGAGGTGGCAGAGGCAGGAAGATTGCAAGTTCCAGGCTAGCCTGGATTGGTAAATAAGATTGCATTTAAAACAAACCAAAACCAAAACCAAAAATATAGAGAACATTACAGATTTTTATTGAAGCACATCTTTTTTATTCTATTTTATATAATTGCGGTTGGAATTTACAGAGCATTTACCTTGACATTACATGCTTAGTTTAATTTCTTTGCACAAAGAGTATCCCAGTTACTATATTTCTAATTTTCTTTCATCATAGATAATATTCAAAAAGGATCTTTGCATTTTAGCAGTTTTTATAGTTACAGACCACAAATTATTCAGGTATTCATTCCTTTTTTCTTTGTAACATCTTTATTTTTATATGAAGCTTTTGGGTACTTGCATCGGATATATTGAAGACATTTCCTCCCTATCAAATTTTTTATTTGTATTTTATTTGGGTGTGTGTGCACCTGTGCAGGTCGGAGGATACCTTTGTGCGGTTGGTTCTCCACTTTTATGTGTGTTCCTGGTGTTGGACTCCAATCACCGTGCTTGTGAACAAGTGCCTTTGCTGCTGAGCCATCTCATTGGTCCTCTCTCCTATCTTTTTAGACCAATGGAAGTTACTTTAATCCATTCCACTCCTTTCACTTTAAGAAATCTATATCTGAAATTGAAATTTCATGTTTATTATTTTATCAAAGTGACAAAGTTTGATTGTCAAAATAAAAAATTAGATGTTCAAACTTTGCCCATAAAGAAAGTAAAGGGAAAGTATTAATAGTAGGCTGTGGATTATTAAACTATTTTGGTTACTTTTATAGCAAGGACAGGTTACTTGTCATGTTTTGATCAAGCTGTTTCAGAACTTTCTTTTTGGTCAGCATTGCATTCATTAAACTCTTAACAGTTTGTTTAAACATCATTACTGGTATTTTGAAAACGGGTATCACTGTGTAGCCTGTGATGGTCTCAAACTTGCAGCAGTACTCTTGTCTTAGCCTCCCAAGTACTGGTCCAACATAAATGTACTAATTTTTTTTTTTTTTTTTTTTTTTCCCCGAGACAGGGTTTCTCTGTGGCTTTGGAGGCTGTCCTGGAACTAGCTCTTGTAGATCAGGCTGGTCTCGAACTCACAGAGATCTGCCTGCCTCTGCCTCCCGAGTGCTGGGATTAAAGGCGTGCGCCACCACTGCCCGGCTTACATGTACTAATTTTAACATAGCCTAAAAAAATCAAAGATTTTTGTTCAGTTTTCTGTGTGTGTGTGTGTGTGTGTGTGTGTGTGTGTGTGTGTGTGTGTATGAGAGGCCTTAAAGTTGGTGTGGTGATATATTATTTATGATTTATTAAAGCTTGCCCGAGGATTCAGAAAGCAAAGTCAGCCTCAAGCTATAGAGATCAGACAGTGGTGGTACACACCTTTAATTTCAGGACTGGGGATGAAGAGGTAGATGATCTCTGTTAGTTCAAGGCCACCATAGCCTACAAGAGTGAAGAACTCATGCCTTTGACCCCAGCACTTGGAATCATACACCTTTAATCCCAGCATTGGGGAGGTATTTAAGACAGGAACAGGGTCTCAGAGCTGGCATTCGTTCTCCAGCCACATTGAGGATAGGAAGACATTGAAGATCAGGATTCTTCAGCCATGCTGAGGAGAGGCAGCAGTCTGAGTTTTGGTGGAGCCAGGATCGCCTTTCACTCTGAGGCAGAGTGAGACTAGTGCTGGCTGCTTTGCTTTTCTGATCTTCAGCTTGAAGCTTGAACCCCAATATCTGTCTCTGGGTCTTTTATTTATTGTGTTACAAGTTGGTGTCAAGAATTTCCCTCAATTATTCTTTCACTTTAGAATTTGAGACAGAGTTTCTAAGTGAACCCAGAGCTCACTGATGTAGCTAGCCCTGCTAATGGCTAGCAGAGATCCCTCCCTGCCTCTGCTTTTCAAGACTGGAATTACAGCCTCACCTCTCATGTGCAGTGGGTTCTGGGGATCTGATCTGCAAGAGGCATTTCAGCATTGAGCCAGCTCATCAGCCCCTCAAAGATGTTGTAACTATTTCAAAACAACACAACATACAGTATCAAAATTTTTCCACATGTAATTTATTAAAACAAACTTAAATATTATCCTAGTATTTTAATGGTTAAAGGTTAAATTGATATTTTCTACCTTGAAAATGTGTCTTGTGATACTTGGAAGCCAGTAAGTGTTGGGAGATTTTGGTAGTCTGGGGATCTGGCACTTTGGCCTCATGTCCTCATTGTATATGGTACTGGGGAAGTCCTCCCCTCCACCCAACTCAGTTGTTGGAGAGTCTAGCCCATTTAAAAAACAAAAAACAAAAAACCCTTTCTTGTGTTAGGGATTGTGGATCTTAGAGGAAATCTGTGATTCATTTAACCGATTTCCAAAGCAGAATCCATTGTGCATGTAACAATTACAGTATCTATGGTAATCTAAGATATCTTAATTGATTAAACTTTAGAGTTAATAGAGCCTCTTTCAAATAGAAGCCATCAGTTTTAAAGCAAAATTTCCTTTGTAAAGTGGCTGGGGTTGTGGAATGTTGTGTAAACAGACTAGGAAATGGCCTTAGAAGTTTGTTTCAGAGATTTTTCAAGTGTGACCCTTGAGGATGACTGTATGTTAATAAAAGTTATAAAAGTAAAATTTTTGTCCTAGTAGGTCACTGTTATACTTTAATGATTCTAATTACTTGGTTGATTTTCAGAATTGGTAGATTTTTATTATTTGATAATTTAAAATAAAATTATTACATTTGTTTAGGGACCTGTGTATGACTTGCCAGGATTTTGTAACAAACATTGGGAGGGGTCAAAGGCATTTTAGTCTTCTGGGTGTGAAAACAAAACTTAGAATCTTACACTGTCCTTTAAAAAAAAAAAAAAAAAAACTATTATGTTCAACATTTGAGTAGGTGAGTAAAGAAGGAACTAGTTTGGCCTGTCAGTCCAAGCTACTTTACTAATAGACTGATTTCAATGCTAGTTGCTACCTAACATATTTTATACATTGTAAATGCATGTGAAATTATTGTTTGAAAATTTAGAGCATACTGTTTTAAAACATTCTTAATAGACTTGATATTCATGGCTTTAGGTCATTCTTGTGTGAGTGTATTTGTAGGTTCTATTGTATAGAAAGGCGGCATTGAACTGCTTTTGGTCAAAATTATGTCAACTTTTTAAATGAATTCTCATGTCGGTTTAAAATGTTATAGTCTTGTAGCATGCTTGAAAAGATTTTGAAAAGTATTTAAGGAATCTTTTCTAGTTTTTCCTTTATAAGTGATTTTTTTAAGTATTTGCATGCAGATTTAAGGTATTATTTATTGTTGGGAAGGGTCTAGCAGATGCTGATTTTACTTTTCTGGTAAGTAGCAATGTAATTTTACTGCTTCAGTTTGACTAGTCTTTGGCTAGTTGTACATTACCAATATTTTGGAAAGGTATACATGTTTTCTGATCTGGAAATACCATAAAAAGAAATTGGTGTAGTCAGTGTATTATAGAACTCATAGGAACATTGAACTCTCATTCAATACTGAGTTTACTCAAAAGCAGGGAATCCACAGGAATAGGGTTTCTAAAGTTATTCTTTGGGGACATTACCAAAGAGTGGATGCGCGCCCCCCCCCCCAGTTATTTTGTGTGTGCTTGGGTGTGTGCATGCTAGCTATGGAGGTCAGAGAACAGCTTAGGTGTTTGTTCTCTCCTTCTACCATGTGAGGTCATGAACTCAGGCCATCTGGCTTAGGGGCAAGTACCTTTATTTACCCTCTAAGCCAGTGCTAAGGAAATCTTACACTGAAAATATTAGATGTTTAGAAAGTTTTGGGGAATGTTGAAAAGATACATAAGTGTTTTCTGAAAAGAAAACTAATGAAGGTATTTGATGATACAGAAAAGAAATAAAAGTCAAAACCACCATTTTGTAAAATTAAGGAGTTTGAGAGACTCATGGAGTGAGTTATAGGATATAAAAAACCATTTGGAGAAATAGCCTTGAATTCACTGGTGCAGGAAAAGATTTTCTGAATAGAATACCATTAGTGCAAGCACTAAGAGCAACAATTAAGAAACAGGACCTTGCTGGGTGGTGGTGGCACATGCCTTTAATTCCAGCACTTGGGAGGCAGAGGCAAGATGGATCTCTGAGTTCAAGGCCAGCCTGGTCTACAGAGTGAGTTCCAGGAGAGGCTCCAAAGCTACACAGAGACCCACCCCCCTCAAAAAGAAAAAAAAAAATACTGACTTAGGTAGATTCCTAATGATAAAAGCTGAATAGATCTTTCTTAACTTGGAAGATCTAGCAACTGCTTTCACAAGTGTGTAACTGGCTAAATCCCATGTGGCAGTGTGTCACCAAGGTGTAATGGTAGTTGTTTTATTCTGTCTTTGCTCAGTAGCAAAGTACCTACTTAAAAAGAACAAAAAGCTGGGGGGCTGGAGAGATGGCTCAAAGGTTAAGAGCACTGGCTACTCTTCCAGAGGTCTTGAGTTCAATTCCCAGCAATCACATGGTGGCTCACAACCATCTGTTATGAGATCTGGTGCCCTCTTCTGGTGTGCAGATATACATGGAAGCAGAATGTTGTATACAAAATAAACAAATAAATAAATAAATAAAATCTTTTAAGAAAGCTGGCCAAAGATTATACACAAAAGCAAGGTTGATTTCTGCTTGTATACCTTTGTCTTACAGATTCTATTGATAACTACCAGCATTTTTTTATGCCAGCTCTGCCCTAGTGGGTTAGGAAAAGCTGAGGTTGAGCCCCAGCTGGCCATGGCTTGTGCTTCTTACTTCTTGGGCCTCCCCATAAAGAAATGATTGGTGACTTGGTTTCAAGTCCCTGCATGTGACTTAGACTGGTATTTTTCAAGTATGACAGAGCTGTGAAGGTTT